AAAAAAAAAAAAAAAAAAAAAAAAAAAAAAAAAAAAAAAAAAAGATACCAACCCACTTGGGCATGGACTCTTAAACTATAAATGCAGCTGGTAAAGCCTGCTCTTGCTGTCTTGCTTCCAGCTCTCTGCCCATTCATGCAGAGGACTTTTATCTAGGATAGTGATCTGTAAGTCTCCCCTAAATAAATAACCCTTTACTATATAAAATTCTGAACTAGTGTGGAATTATTTTATAACTTCCACCATCAAAACCCTGTCTTAAAAAAAAAGAGCGAGAGAATGTTCTGGTTGGTTAACATTATTAACATAATGTATTAAAGGGTGGTAACACTAGGAGGGTTGAGAACCACTGCATTAGACAGTGAGCTGGGATGAATCCAGGTCTTCTAGCAGAGCAGCCAGTGTTCTTCACTGCTGAGCCTTCTGCCAGCCCCTAAAGCCACTCTTAAGTTGTTACTACTTAACAACTTAAGTTGTTTCTTTGATATTAGTGAAAACTTTATAAATAAAAGGCAAAAAGTTAAATAATAACTGATAAAATGTTTAATGAATGAGGCCTTAGTGCTGCCTTCTCTGAAGCTACCTGACATCATAATGAGAAGGGCCTCTAAAAGCTACTTCCGTCTGAGCAGGTGCTTTAACCCTGGAGCAGCTCTAGCACCTGAGTAAATACAAAATCTGAATACATATTTACAGATAGTGGTAACGGGTACTTGTTGTCCAGATGCTGAGAAAAGCTCATAATAAAAACATGAGGTTGCCTGTGCTGAGATCTTCCCTTTCCCTGGGCAGAACGTCACCATGCTTCCTTTTCCTAGAGACCCTACAGGAATACAGCAGACCTTTTTGTGAGAGAGTTTTTAGTTCCTGAACTAGGCTGAGTAATTTGAGGTCTCATCTGAAGCTAATATAATAAGTAACGAGCAAAGAAACTGTGCTTATCCTTTAGTGTCTCTCTCTCTCTCTCTCTCTCTCTCTCTCTCTCTGTGGAGGGGGGTGTGGTTTTTTATCGAGTGCTGGCATTAAAGGCATGGACTACCACACCTGGCGCATCATCTCTGTTCTTAGTTTGTCTGTCTCTGACTCCAGTATCCCACATGCCCTTTAATTCCAGACCATCATGTCTCTGATGCTGTAGTCACAAGAGCAAGGCCCTGCCGTGAGCTAGTGAGTGCAGAGGCATGGTCCTCGTGGACCAGTCATCTTCACACAGCTTTAGCCCTCCTCGGTGTCCTTCTATCAGACCGTCATATTACCAGACAGAAAACAGAATAAGGTGTGTTAACATTGGTTTAGAGTTACCAGAGGAGATTACACAGTAGAAAGGCCTCAGATTGACTAAGACCAAACTAAGAACTCATAGTAATGACTTCTCAGGGCTGTGACAACATTCTCTGGGCAAAGCAACAGAAGAAAGGAAGAGTCTATCAGACTCACAGTCTATCGAGTGGGGAGTTGCTACAGCAGGAGCCAGGAGCCTGAGGCAGCTGGTCAGCACTGCATTCTTGTCTTTTATTAAAGCACTTCGTTTCCTTGTTTCTTTGAAAGCGTGATTTTCTCTAGCATCTAAAGAATTAATTTGCTTGCTTAAAAAAAAAGTTAAGTATCCAGTTTAAAATCTGACTTGAAAAGGTTTGTGCAGTTCTGCCCTTTTCTAACCCTGGGAAACTGAGGCCTAAGTGACTCAGAGTCAAGTAACAGGGACTGGGGAGGCCTGCGTCTGACCATCAATGTAACTGCGCTGGTTGGGGAGCAGTAACACCCACACCGCCGTCTGTGTAGGACTCCTACTCTCCCCAGCACTTGCTTCAGTCTACCACTGTGATTCTTGATAACTGTCCATTTGACCTGGCTAGCATCCCTTAGAGGGCGCCCCTCTAGACACTCCTGTGAGCAGTTATCTAAATTAGGTTAGCCTCTGGGCATGCCTGTGTGGGATTATCTGGATTACTAATTGACACGGGAAACTCTACCTTAAGTCTGTCCACCATTCCTTGGGGTGGAGTCCTGGACTGAATAAAAACTGGAAAGCAGGAGAACACTGGCACCCATTCAGCCTTTGCTGAAGGAGGGCTCAGCATTCACCAGCTGCCTCCAGCCTTGACTCCCCACCACGATGGACTGTGAGCCTTAACAGGCCTTTCGTTTCTTCTGTTGCTTGGGCCAGGGAGTATTGTCACAGCCTCAAGAAAAGTCATGAGTTCTTAGTTTGGTCTCAGTTCATCTGAGGCCTTTCTACTTTGTAATCTTCTTTGGTAACTCTAAACCAATGTTAACACACCTTATTCTGTTTTCTGTCTGATAATATGACAGGCCCTTCGTTTTGCCCCCTGGAATGTGTGTGTGACAGAGTTCATCAGGGAACTCAAGCGAGTATGCGATGCTCACAAGAATGTCTGAGATTTTCACTGAGTAAGTTTTGAATCTCTGCTTCTAGACACAGTTTCCAGCAAGCTGCAAAACAACAATGTTTACACTATTGCCAAGAGGAATGTGGAAGGGCAAGACATGCTGTACCAGTCCCTGAAGCTCACTAATGGCATTTGGATTTTGGCCGAGCTACGGATCCAGCCAGGAAACCCCAATTATACGGTAAGGCCTTTCCCTGAATGGATGAGAAAGATTAGAGTAAGACAGTAAGAACCCATACATTTCTTCCTTAGGGCCCAACAGAGACTGGAGGGAGTACCTTTGACCTGAGACACCCAAAAGGAGCATTCAGTAAAGTAGTCCCTAGTTGCCTTCATGAAAGACTGCCTCTCCTCGCTGTAGTCTTCTGCCACTCAAAATGCATGGTACTCAGGTAGATCATTTGCCTCTGACAGCAAGGAGGTCTGCAAACCCATCGCTTCCCTGACACATAGCGATGCTTCCTCTTCAGCATCAAGTTGGTGCTGTAATAAGCTGTCAAGAGCAGTGTTTCTAGCTGGGCATTATGGTGCACACCTTTAATCCCATCTTTGGTAGTCAGAGGCAGGCAGATTGTTGTGAGTTTGAGGCCAGCCAGAGCTTCCTAATGAGATCCTATCTCAAAAATAAATAAATAAAAGTAAAAATAAATGTTTCTGGAGTCAAGGGATGGCTCAGTGGGTAATGGTGCTTGCTGTGTAAACGTGAGGACCTCGGTTCAGATCCTCAGTGCCCACATAAAAGCTGGGCATAACCACGCATGCTGTAAAACACAGCATTGCACGAGGAGGAGCAGGAGGATCATTGGAACTTGCTGACCAGCCAGCCTCGTTCTCTCCCTCCCCCACATCTCTCCCTCCCTCCCCCCCCCTCTCTCTCTCTCACACACACACACACAGAGTGGTGAGCTCCAGGTTCAGTGAGAGACTTGTGATGGAAAAGGTAGAACCGGATGCCCAACACACTCCTCTGGCTTTTGCACATGGACACACATATGCACACATACCCCCAAAATAATTTCTACCTGGCTTTAAACTGGACCTTTCCTACTTTTGGAGTTCTTGGCCTTAAGGATATCTAGACCTAGATACAACTACTACCTCAAAGTCATGATGTGAACAAGTCACTAATTAACCATTCCTAACCGTGGTTTCTTTAGCCTAGAGGAAAGTCTCCAGCCTGCAGGTTTCCCCTTTGAACCTTGAGGAACCTCCTCCAGTATCCCACTGAACTGAAGCAGAGGTTCTGGGATGGCTTCATACAACAGAAACCATTGCATTGTTAAACAGCAAAGACTGGTCCAAAGGCTGCTTGTGATGTGCATTGGGAAGGTTACTGACAAACCTGGAAATGGGGGAATGTCTCATTCTCATGTTAGACTGCTTTGAAAGATGTGATGGGAAGAAGATTCAAAATTGACTAGTTCTGAGGGACTCAGGGAACCTGTTACTCCTCTGACACCATTCCTTAATTTTAACAGCTCTTGTTTATCCTAGCGTACATTGCCCCATGTGTGTGCCTGCTGCTGAGTCCTGTCAGCTCGGGCTTTCGTCAGCGTCTGTGAGCTTTCCCCACAGGTGGACACTCCTCCCGTCCCTGCCACCATCTCTTATCTTTTTTGTTTTGCTTTGCTGTTTGTTTTAGTTTTTTTTGGGACAGAGTTCCATCATATAACCCTAGCCATCCTAGAATACATCATATAGACCAGGCTGACCTCAAACTCACAAAAATCCGCCTGACTCTGCCTCCCAAATGCTGAAGTTTAAGGGAGTCCTGGGATTAAAGGCATGTGCCAACAAGCCAGGCTCATCTCTTATTTTTTTCAGAGAGTGGTAATCTACCTTGTCATTTACCTTAAGTGCCTAGGACAGGAAAACCCTCTTTACTCTTCCAGGACAAGGTCTTGCTGTAAAATTCAGATCTTGTAAAATAACTCCATTTACTTTTCTAGACATTTGCTCAAAGTCTGTATGTATGTGCCTTTTTAACTCACCATTAGTAGTGTATACATTGTTCTATCGTGACTAAGTTAAAGAAGCATTTTATTCCCAGGTTGTAGACAAAGAGATCCTGGTCAAGAATGATGAGAGAGGGACAGTGAGGTGACGGGGTAGGTAAAGTCACTTGCCACCAAGCCTGATAACCTGTTCAATTCCCAGACCTGCGTGGTGAAAGGAGAAAACTGGCTCCCACCAATTGTCCTCTGACCACCACAAGTACTGTGCCACATGCACACACCAATACATATTTAAGAATAATTAGTGAGGGTTGGAGAGATGGCTCAGAGGTTAAGAGCATTGCCTGTTCTTCCAAAGGTCCTGAGTTCAATTCCCAGCAACCACATGGTGGTTCACAACCATCTGTAATAGGGTCTGGTGCCTTCTTCTGGCCTGCAGGCATACACACAGACAGAATATTGTATACACAACAAATAAATAAATATTTTTAAAAAAAGAATAATTAGTGAAGTTGGACCCTGGTGCACAGACTGTGATCCCCACTATGTGAGAGGCTCAGGCAGGAAGATCATAAATTCAAGGCCAAACTGGGCACTCAGAAACTCTATCCATCTCAAAGAAAAAAGTAAAAATAGAGCTGGGGGATATCACTCAATGGTAGATCACCTGTCGGCTAGGATAGGACCTAGGTTCAACCCCTGGTACCAGAAGTGGGGTTAAAAAAGATTTGTTCAAAAATCATGTAATTTTTTTTTTAAAAAAATAAACAGTAATATTTAAGGTTCAGGTGTTTGTTGACGGTTCCTAAAGCACATTGTTTGAGAAAGGCTATTCACTCTCTTAGATATAGTTAACACTTTAAAACATACTTTATTTTAAAATAATTGAGAACTCACATGGTTTTTAATGGGACTTTTTACTTTTCCCAGTTTTTTTATATAGATAATATTTTACACATAGTATACTTTCAAAACTAGAAAATAACAAATAAGTATAGACATAATGAGACTGCACATGACATACTTTTTCATGCCGGGAAGAGTGACTTGTTTTTTTCTGTGTGGGAGGAGTCTTTTGTCTTTTTCTTGTTGTTGGGGGTGTTACTTGTTTTTGAGACAGATTTTCACTTTGTAGCCCTAGCTGGCCTGGAATTCACCATATAAACCAGGCTGGCTTGAAACTCAGAGATTCACCTGCCTCTGCTTCCCAGGGGCTGGAATGTAACCCTAGCCCTGGCAAACACTCCTTGGTTCTCCTACAATGACTGTGTCATTTTGGAATATTATAGAAAGTAAATCATACACCACTTAGCCTCTCTTTTATATGTGTCTCTCTGTGTGATGTGTACATGTATGTTCATGTGTGTCAATGCACATGTGTCTTAGTCAGTGGTCTGTTGCTGTGAAGAGATACCATGACCATGGCAACTCTTATATTTGGGGCTAGCTTATAGTTCAGAAGTTTATTAATCCATTGTTTTATGGTGGCAAACATGGTGCTGGAGAAGGAGCTGAGAGTTCTATATCCCAATCGCCACACATCAGAAAAAAGAGAGAACACTTGAACATTTGAAACCCCAAAGCCCAACCCTCATCACATGCTTCCTCCAGCAAGGCCACACCTTCTAATCCCTGTAGTGCCACTCCCTAATGACCAGACATTCAAGTGTATGAGCCTAGGGAGGCCATTACTATTCACACTACCACATGTGTGTGTTTTATACATGTGGAAGTCTGAGTCTCACCCTCACCTTATTCGTTTAGACAGGGTCTCAGTTGGCAGCCAGTGCAGCAATTTTAGCAATATTTTAAGCTGCTTATACTGCAGGCAGTTAAGCATGCCCACTCACCATGTATGTGGGTGAGAATCCAGTCTCTGGTCTTGTAACTTACACTGAACCATTTTTCCAGCCCCTTATATAATCTATAAGATTATTTTTTTGCATGTTCCATAATATCCTTTTACTAGTTTCTAACGTGTACCAGTAGTTTGCTTTTTGCATGGTCATATGTTAGCCAACTGTATGCATCAACCATGGATTCTTAAATCATGAAGTGAAAGATATTTTCTCCTCTGTATTCTTTGAAAATTTGAGATATTTGTAAGCCAAGCATGATGGTGTATGCATTTAATCCCAGCACTTTGGAAGCAGAGGCAGGCTAATCTCTGTGAGTTCGAGGCCAGCTTGGTCTACAGAGCAAGTTCCAGGACAGCCAGGGATACACAGAGAAACCCTGTCTGAAAGAGAGAGAGATTCACAGTTATAGGAAATGCTATAGCTGAAGAGATCTTAAATGATCTCTTTTCACTTGACCCAGAAAACACAAGCATGGGAATCGAGGGTTCAAGTCTTCTTCACTTGCACTTTAAGAACACCTGGGAGTTTTCAGCCCCTCAAAAGCACACAGATCCAAAAGCTACCAAGTACCTCATGGTAACACTTTACAGAAAAATGTGAGCCATTCCATATTGTAGTGGTGGAGTTTGTAGGTATGCCTAAACCAGAGTATGCTGGACTCGGGGTTGGCAGCTTAAAATATTGCTAAAATTTTGCTGCACGTTCTTAAAAATGCAGAGAGTAGGTACAAGTGTCAATGTGGACTGTGTGGTCATCTGGCATTTCCAGTTGAACAAAGATAAATCACTCTCCTGCAGAGCTCATGGTTAGGTTAACCCATGGATGTACTCCCATGCCACACTGAGATAATCCTAAAGGAAAAGTAACAGATTATCCCTAAAACAGAATACACAGAAGGAGGGAAAAATATCCCGGAAGAAACAAATCTCATTGCCTAGTCTTTCCCTCTATCAAGCCACCAAAGATCCTGATGTCATCATGGGCTGCCACTCCACCCATTGTTAATGGTTTGATGACAGTTGTCTTTTAAAGGAAAACATTAATTGTGGCTAGCTTACAGTTCAGAGGTGGAGTACATTATTGTCATGGCAACACACCTTTGACATGGTGTTGGAAAAGTAGCCAAGGGTTGTACATCCAGATCCATAGGTAGTAGGGATTGAGAGGGAGGGAGAGACTAACTGATTTGAGCATTTGAAATGGCAAAGCCCGTTCCTAGTGACACACTTCCTCCCAGGCTGTACCTCCTAATAGTGCCACTCGCTTTGGGCCTGTAGCAGCCATTTTCATTCAAACCACAACGAAGCCTTACTTGCCCAAAGCCTCGCTTTTGCCAAAGCATCCTGATGCCAAGAGCAAAAGTGAGTTAACTCCTCCCCGTGACCACATAGTGTCTGGCAGACATGAGTAACTATAATTTGAAGCTCTAGAAGCACTTGCATTTGTGCCAACAAATATATGGTAAGGATTGGTAAAGATAGTATTCATATTCAAAGCTCCACCCTTAGTATTGTCCACGTCAACAAGCTGTTGTCCTGTGCCGGGGCTGACAGGCTCCAGACAGGTATAGGCAGGGTACCTTGAGACGTCTCCAGAGTTCACACTGGCCATATGCACTAAGCTGCAGAATAAGACCAAAGCCCTGTGCAGGTCAGTGTTCAGGTTTCCTGACCTCCAATAGATCCACATCTCTGAGACTGGGACTTCACCACATTTAATGTGCATTTAATACACATTAATACGTGGTAGCTGAGAAACAGCTTATCCTCCTTGGCTAAAGTCAGGATCATTCCTGTGTGGTCCCCTAGATAAGTGGCAAGCCCTGCACTCTTGAAGACCCTCTTAAAGATGTGTTAAACCCATCCCCACCTCACCAGTCATGTTCAATAGTAAATCTTATATCCAATTTTAAATAATAATAATAATAAAACCTGTGATTTAGTACACTAAAGTACAAATAAAGGAATAAAGAAGAGGCACACACTTCTAATCCTTACAGCACTTAGGAGGCAGAGGCAGGCAGATCTCTGAGTTTGAGGCCAGCCTGATTTACATGGAGCATTCCAGTCAGGACAATATAGTGAGACCTTGTCTAGCAAGATTCTCAGATAAATGCTAAAAAAGTGGGAGGGGTGGATCTAAAGCTTGTACCATATCTATGTTTATACATAGTTGTAGGTTGTTTTGTTTGGTTCTGGTTACATTTATCAGGATTTTCTTCATGACTGATAATAGACTGTAAAAGACCAGTGAGATCACTTTTGGGGGGCCACACGTGTGGTCCTGCTAATCCAGTCCTAACTGGGTCTCAGTCCCTGGGACCTACATGTGGAAGAGTAAGCCGACTCCCCACAAGTTGCCCCTTGACCCCCAAACATAGGTGCACACATACAAATTTTTTAATCCCTTTAAATAAAGTATCTCCTTTTATTTTATGTTTATGTCTGCACATTTGCTGTGTGTGCGTGTGTTCATGTGTGTGCATTCAGTAGCCAAAGGTTGAAGACAGTGTCTTCCCCAATCACTCTTTTCTACCTTATTTTTAGAGACCCTTGTTGAAATAGGAGCGGCGGGGCTGCGTCCCCAGCACCCCGTCTGCCTCGCTAGCATATGCCCCGAAATAACAACACACAAACTGTATTCATTTAAGCACTGCTTGGCCCATTTCTGTCTAGCCTCTTCTAGGCTAATTCTCGCACCTGGAGTAGCCTGTTTCTAATAATTGTTTGTAGCACCCCAAGGTGCGCTTACCGGGAAGATTCTAGCCTACGTCCATCCTGGGTCTGAGCTTCATCCCATATGCCCAGGAGAGCGAAGCAGGGCCTCTGCTCCAGAGAGCAGAGCTGTCAGGTCTGACCTCACTTCCTCTTCCTCCCAGCATTCCATTCTGTTTACTTCTCCCATCTTCCTCCTGTTTACTCCTCCCACCTATGTTTTAACCTATCAGGGCAAGCAGTTTCTTTATTTAATTAACCAATGAAATCAACAGATTGATATATGACACTCCCACATCAGACCCTATTTCTCTCTGATCTCACCATTTTAGCTAGAGTGGCTGGCCACCACGCCACAGGCATCCTGCTCTTTCCACCTCCCCCCAACGCTGGAATCAGGTGTCTGTCACTGTGCCCAGCTTTTTACATGGGTGCTAGGGATCACAAGCTCATGCGGGTACAGCAGCTACTTCACCTGCTGAGCCATCTCCCCAATTCTGTGTTGCTTTTTATGAGATAGTGTCTCACTCTGTAGCCCAGGCTGGCCTGGAACTCACAGCAATCCTCCCACCTCAGCCTCCTAAGTGCTGGCATGCAGTCGTGAGCTACCACCTAACTAACTTTAAGTTTTTAGAATGTTGGTGTTTCAGGAAATTAAGACTGTCCTCCTGAAAGTGGAACTGAGATCCATTTCAGACATAGGAACTGAGATCTCAGCTGAAAGGACTGTCACCAGGTTAAGGGGTTTCCTCAGTACTGGCCTCTGCACCTTTGGCAGAACCTCAGAACAGTGGTCCCCTGGGATCATGTGGGCTGTGGGGAGATCACAGTGCACAGCTTGACACCAACAAAATTGAAGTTTTGAAATCCATGATTTGTGTTAATGTGAACTCTCTGTTTGCCTGTTCCAGTCGTAGAGTGTCTTGGAATGTCAGAAACGGTCTTGACCTGAATGTTCGGATGCATCTGGATCTGTTTCCATCCCCATGCTAATCTCCTTTCTCCTCTTCACAGCTGTCGCTGAAGTGCAGAGCCCCTGAAGTCTCTCAGTACATCTACCAGGTCTATGACAGCATTTTGAAAAACTAATAAATGGGTCCTGTACCCTCCAGCCACCCTGTAATCGGTGCAAGCCAAGAACTCTTAACTGAAAGAAGTCGTACTGCTGTGTAGAGCCTGAACCCCAACACTGCGCCACCCACCCCGGTAGTGACCAGTCGCCCTGTGCTGACATTAGCATTCACCCCGTTGGATAGGTTAGCTTCCTGTGACGTGTGTAACCACTGCTTCCGTCATTCCCCACTTCTGCCACCTGCTGCTGCTCTCAGTCCTTCCCTGTGAGCTTCTCCATGCTGTGCCAATGGCTAGCCTTTTCTACACCCTCTTTTGAGTGTAGTTTGATATTTTGTAATCGAAAGCTCATTTCACAAGCAGAAAAGGGCAACAAGTTAATTAAAGCAAGGAAAAGTGTCACTGAAACATAAACTGCACCTTATTGTTTTCTATTTTTGTACAGATGAGAAATTGAGGTAGAACGATGAGTAGGGAGGGTTGATTGACCGTCATTCGTAGAGGAGAAACAGGCACGGCCCCAGCCCCTTCTGGGGAGGGGGGTTCTCTTGTCTTTGGCAACCCTGCTCCTGGTCATTTGCATTCTTTTTCCCATCTATCCAGATTCTTTCCTTGGCCAAGCCTTCAAGCTCCCTTATGTCCCTCGCTATCTCATTTGATGACTCCATGCTTGGCAGTGGTGGTCTTCATTGTTTCTGAATGCAGGGACCCTGGGCCTGTAGGCACAAAGCCGAGAGATGATAGAAGGCTGTTCCCTTCCACTGTGTTGCCCTAGTGATCACACTGACTGACGAGCTGAGAGGAGATGAGTGAGAACCACAGTGCCCTCCCCTAGCCTTCTTCCCTCTGTTCCTCGGGGACAGTTCACACCGAAAGTCAGGGTTCTCGAGTCAAAATAGATTTTAATGGTTTATCCAACCTTGTTTTTCAACAAAGAAAGGTAACAGGAAAAAAGATTATTGCTGAGGCCTCTTGACTCTTGAGTAGCAGAGCTGAGGCTGGTTCCCTAAAGCTCCGTCAGCTCCCCTGTATGGCTGGCTCGTTGCTATTCTTTTCCTGTGCCTGCCTGCGGCTCTTTGCATACTCTGTACTGAGTTTGGTGCTCCACCATTGACTGGTGGCAGGTGGCGGTTGACATCTCAGTTACCTGAATACACATCCAGGTACTGAGAGTGAAGTGGAGCTAACATTTGCCAGGCTCTCCTAGAGCACAGTTCTGGAGGCCAGCAGTGAGTGTAGAGAGGTTGTCAGTTCTCGCTGTCCCTCAGCTCCCTGATCTGCTCTCCATCCATGGTACTCAAGCTCCAAAGCAAAGTAAGATCATCCCAGAAGGCCATGTAGTTCTTGTCATCTTTCAAAGGGCTGAGGATGTGAGGTCCCCTCCTGTAGCACATTGGTTGATTCATCAGAGAATGCCTCATACCCACTGCCCTCTGAGGACTGTTCACACTGTTAGAGATGGCACAGCCTGGCACCTTGTAGTCAGGGTCCATTAAGAGTTCCCTGCTGAAGTCAGAAGTATGCCAGGGTCCAGAGACCTCATCCTCATGCTGGACTCAGCCCTAACTGGATCCAGAGGAGAGGTTGTGGAAAATCAGATAGAAACCAGCTTCCTTCAACCGAGTGCTGGAATGATCCTGTTTTCTCTCAAGTTCCATAAGCCTTTAGCATCTTTGCTGGCTGGTGGAAAGGAAATACAACCCTCCCTCACCATGCGGGAATAGGAAATGCTGCAAGGCTGTGTGGGAGGCAGGTAGGTTGGTGATATGTTGGGTGGAAAAGCAAGTTGACAAAGTTCCCTTGTTGAGACTCATTCATGGAGTCGGTTGGATATGAGTAGTGTAAGGGGTTCACACTACAAACACAGTTTTCTCATCTCAAAGCAAACTGTAGTTCCCGAAAGAAGAGTATTTGCCCGGGCAAGCAGAGAACAATTTGATGCCAGGGTGTGCCCACCCCTGAAACTGAGGCCTCTCTACCTGTGTTGGATAAGAACTGCTGTTCTCTGCTGGCCTAACTGAGCCAATCGGTGATGTCTGACCCCCTGGGGAAGCCACCTCTCACTCCACCCAGGCAGAGCTAGGGAGGGATGCTGCTTCTATGAAAGGGCCTCCTGAAGAGACAACAGTCTGCTGCCCCTGCCGCAGCTTCCCTCCAGGCCCCTCTCAAGCTTGGCCAGATTGGGAGAGCGGAGTCGGGTTCCTCTGTATCCTCTCTCCTTGCTCTAAGTGTGTCTCTGATGTGAGCTGGAGTTAAGAGGGCAGGGAAACAAACACATTGGAGCTCTTCTGGGTCAGAGTCCTTGAGTGTCTGTCCTCAGCCAAGCCTGGTCTGTGTGTCTGTGTTGTGAAGCTTGGGACACTGGAGCCAGGTGTGTGAGGGTAAAGGTTGCCCTAAGAATGCTTGTTCTTCTGTTCTTGTTGGGATTTGTTCGGGGGGAGGGGGGTTGGGGGAAACTTCCTTGTGTATTCATCAATAAACTCATTTACACAAAATAAAGTTTGTGTGTGTACTATGTTCTCAGGTCTGACACCCCAGGATAAAACATAGCTGACCAGAGAAGGGACATTAGTAACCCCCCCTTTTTTTTAATGACTCTAGCCCTCCCAGGGGTTCATCTAGATGAAATTAGGATTGAGAAAAAGCCTTTATCTCAGGAAGCCACCTGGTGTTCCAAGTCTCAAGTCACCTCCCTTCAGTAAGGTATGTGCAGGGAAGCCAGTCTCTCTGGCAGCTGTTCCCAGACACTGGGAGAATGGCAGTGGTGGGTCCCCCATCCCCCTGGATTGTCAGTATCTGCCAGCATAGCCAAGGGCAGGAACATAGAGGGGCTGCTGCGGGCACCTGTTACCCAGGATGTCTGAGCACTCAGGTGCAAAAGCTTCTTGAACCCAGGGCCAGCATGTTCCCAAGCAAGTGGGACAGCCCGAGATATCCAGAACTGTTGTGTATTGCTTGAAGAAGCCCTTGGGCAAGTCCTTGAACATCTCACAAATATAGACAGGGTCTGGAGTTTTCAGCACTTAATTGCTCAAAGTAGTTTCTTTTGGTGTCTAGACAATGAGCTGCCTTTGGCAACTGGGGACCCTCTGCTGGACCTCCAAGCTCTAGGGGAACCCTGAGAAAGAAAGAAGGTCTCTAAGTTGAAGTTCGGGTCAGTCTTGGGCTCTGTCTGGGATAAGGTCAAGCAAAGTCCCCAGACACACCCCGCTCAGGTACAAGTCACCTGCAGAGCTTTCAGAATGATGTATCTTCATATTGAACGAGTGAGTCAGGGTGAAGGTGAGGTGGCCCAATGGTAAAGGCATCTGAGAATCTGATTCACATCCCTGGAACCCACATCGGGGGAGGAGAGAACCATCTCCCGGAAGTACACACAAGCCCACACCATTGCATGTCTGTGTCCCATATGTACACAGACACTAAATAAATTGCTTTAAAAATATTTAATAGTGTTTCCCCGTGCTCGTCTACAGCAGTACTTGCGGTAGAATGGTAAAGCACTCGGTGCCCACAATACCTGTTTACCCTGCTCATCTGAACTTGCCATCACCTGCTTTTCAGGGCGCTGTGGCCCCACATCTGACTGCATGGCAGTTCCCTCTCACTCCATAAAAGCTGCTCCCCTCCCACTCACTGTATCCAGCTTTGCTGAGTCCTGAGGATGGCCATATGCTCAAAGCAGCTGACCACCCTCCCACACCCCCAACCTAAACCTGTTTTCAGAGACTGCACTGTTCCCTGCCCCTGGGATGGGCCTCAGGTATGTTGTTGGAGAGGACTCTCCAGTCTGGGCCTTCCTCCTCCCACTGCTTGCATTAGTACTTCCGGTCTTGCTTGGACCCTGATTTTTCCCTGCACCCTCAGCTCTAAGAAGCAAGAGCCTGTTTATTTTAATAGCTGGTATGGCGCTTGGGAAAGATCACACCTCCCCCGTTGTTACCCATTTCTACCTCCTGAACACTAATCCTAGAATCCCAGCCAGCCCCCGGACATGGTATCAGCAGCAAGGACGTTTCTTGAAAAGTTTTGAGTTGGCTTTGGACTTGCCTCCTCGGGTTTCCAGTTTAGCTTTTGCCCTTCCGTTCCCCACGCTGCCAGCAAGGGGGAAGCCTCAGCTGGGGGTTGGTCAGACCTAGATTCTTAGTTGGAAAAGTGACTTGAGCTGTTTAGGGGAGCATTGTTTGGGAACAACACACACTGCCAAGGATCAGATCCGCCTTAGGCAGAACCCTAACACCTTAACTAAGAGTGCCTGTTGGTACGGAGGACTCCTTCCATTCACACGCGCAGCAGGCCTCTGATGGGACAGGTGGGTCTAGCCTGTCTATCTTCCATACCCTGGCTTCAGATGCTACAGAGGGCACACACAATTGCTCACCTAGAACCTGAGTTTGTGAGCTTGCCCCTCAGTCACCAGGAATCCTTAGCCACAGCCACAAAGTCAGACAGATCCAAGAACCAAACCCCTTTAGCTTTCCCAACAAGGTAATCCTAGTGACAGAGAAGAGTAAACAGGGCCAAATCAGCTCTCAGTAGAGCAAAATGAATTAGCTTCAGTTTAGGGAAAATACTACCACTGTTTCTTCTTTAAATAAAAGCAGTGCTTTAAATGGCATGCCACTGAAGGCTAGTATGAAGTCCCATAATCTGTAGGGTAGAGGCTTGCAAGGTTTCTTATTTCTAGTCCTCAAGCTGAAATGGACCTATGTCCCAGGGGAATAATTGAAAGCTTCAATCCTCAGGCAAGATGGGGATGAAATATTTTTGAGATGCAGTAGGAAAGAGTGTCCTGGATGATTTATTTAACGAAGCTAAGAGGATGTCAGTGACTCAACTGGAATCCCTTGGGATCAGACACATCTAATCCCCACCCAGCCCCAAAGTAGTGCTCTGAGAGAGGGGCCCTGACCTTTCCCAGTCCTCAAGCCCACATTCTAACTCCAGGAGCCCACCTAGAATAAATAGGAATGCTCTCTCTCTCTCTCTCTCTCTCTCTCTCTCTCTCTCTCTCTCTCTCTCTCTCTCTCTCTCTGTCAGTAATGTTCATTCAGAAAGGTAAGACCACACACTTGGGCTCCATACCATGCAGTGTGTAAAGGTATCACACACCTTGGCTCATTTCTGCACTGTCTGCAACAGTGGGGGAAAGAACTAGAATCTGTTTCATAAATACGGGCTCCTTCTTGCCTCCATCACACAGTACAGGGCAGGACTGAAATCAAATACAGAGCTGTCTGACTGGGAAGCCAGGCTTCTGAGCACTGCACCTTCTGCCCAACAGAGATGGAGACAGCCTTCGGGGAAATGCCCAAAACACAGAGCCCAATGGGAGAAGGGAAAGAGGGTCTGTGAGTTAGTTGGAGCTTTGGAGGAGGATGCAGTCACAATGGGGAAAACCCTTGGCGGATGGGCACAGACTAGTTTCTCCTTGCCATGCATTTAATGCCCAGCTGTGATGTCCTGCTTCCCATCCATCCAGTACAGGACAAAGAACAAACTCCTGGTGGTTTGGATCAGTGATAGTTTTCCTTGTCAACTCCATTGGATTTGAAATTATCCAAGAAACACATCTCTGGGTGTGCCTGTGAGGGTGTTTCCAGAGAAGTTTAAGTGAAGAGGGGAAACCCACCTGAATGTAAGCAAAAGGGAAAAAATGCACTTAACCTAGCATTCACCTCTGCTCCCTTCCTGGCTGCCCACGTAGCGCCAGCCCCCCCTCATTCCCACCACTTCCCCTTCTGGCCACAATAGACTGCCCCCCTAAACCATGGGCCAAAATGAACCCTATCTCCCTGAAACCACTTTTGTCAGGTATTTGCCGCACCAAGAAAAGAACTAGAAGAGGGTCTCTGAGACTCTTTTAGGGGGGCAGAAAGCAGTCAAGAAGGCACATAAGTCACAGTTCGAGGTCAGAGGATGTATGGGAGTTCTCTCCTTTGGATCCCGGGGAACCAAAACCAGGTCCTCAAGCTTGGCGGTAGGCACCTGAACAGGCTGACATCTTGCAGCCAGAGACCTTGTCTTAAACTCTCCCAACATCTTCTGGCCCCATTCTTCCAGCCTGTGGGGTTCTGTCAGGTCTCTCCACTCTCTCCTAAAGCCCCTACTATTGTGCCAAGCCTCTGCTGACCCCTCTAAAGAACTGGCTGGGCTGCTCTGACCTCCCAGACACCTTGACTTCGAACACAGGGATTTGTCTTTGGCTTCCCACTAGACTGTGAGCCCTCTGCTGAGCTTTTCTGTAGCAGCCTAGCTAGTGACTCAGCCTTTGTATTCCACATTTTGCATTTAAATACGAGGACTTACTCATCTTTTCTCAACCTCAATGATCTCATCTGTAGAATGGGGGAAACAGCCTGTTTCATGGAATGTTCTGGGGCTTTAACTTGAGGATTTAGGCAAAGCTCTTAGCATACTAGGATGTTAGCTACTGATAAAAATATGTTGATGAGGATTGCTTGAGAATAAATACAAGAGAAACTGCGCCCTCAAGCCTGGCAAATGCTGGGATCTCACAGACGAGAGGGACTGCAGTTTTAGAGGAGTGGAGGTCATGCTTTGGCAGGGGCCCAGCTTTGCTTGGCGCTAGCCTGGCCTGCTGTTCCCTGCCGCAGTGAAAGGCGAGAGTGACCACCCTCTACTCCGTCCTCCGGGGGTGGAGGAGCAAAAGAACCTGGATGTCAGCACCCAGGGCAGGGCACACTCTGGGCAGCTGCCAGTCACTGACTGACCAGACCGGTAAGGGTCGGAAGGACAGACCGTGGGGAGGAGGGGACCAAGAGCTCAGCAGGGAGCAGGGTGGGTGGCGGTGAGGACAGGCAATCGCAGTGAAGCCATAGGCTCCGGGGCCTTTTCGGTCCCCTCCTCCGACTCCTCCAGGTTCGAGCCACATTTTCCCGGGGGAGAGTCAGGAGGGAGATGAAGGTCGAGGTTAGGGACTGGGGAGCCGGTCCCGCGGCGCCCAAGTGAATCCGTCGGGCTCGGGGACCCAGCGGATCCCCCCGCGCCCGCCTCCCTCTCCGCCGGTGCGAGTGGGGCGGCGCGCTCCGCAGGGCGAGCAGCTGAGCGACCCTCAGTGCTGCGGCCCCCCGCGCCCCAGCCCGCCTCGCCCGGGCCGCGGGAGGCGCCCCTCACTCTCCCCCCGGGCGGGGGAGCCCAAGGCAGCGCCGGAGCCCGGGGGGAGCGCGGCCGCGCCGGCCAGGGCAGGGGGCAGGCAGCCGGGACGGCCCCGGGTAAGCGGGAGGAGGAGGAGCGGGGTGACCGCGGGGTGAGGGGCGGCCCGGAGGCGGGGGGCGGGGGTGGCGAGGAAGCGGCCGCGGGAGTGGAGCTGGGGCCGGAAGCCAGCGGGGTTCCTGCAGCCCCCACACCAGCCACCGATCGGGTCACCGGGAGCCCGGCGTTCGCCGGTACCCTTACCCCTATGCGAACGTGGTGGGGACACACCGCGCGAGCATGTA